CACAACACAACGACATTAAGCTCACAACACAACGGCATTAAGCTCACAACACAACGACATTAAGCTCACAACACAACGACATTAAGCCACAACACAACGACATTAAGCTCACAACACAACGGCATTAAGCTCACAACACAACGACATTAAGCTCACAACACAACGACATTAAGCCACAACACAACGGAAATGCTCCCGACCACTAGAGGGCAGTGTTGACAGTTAAACACTGATATTTCCTCGAGACGCCACAAGAAATTCTCAATGTAAGCGATTGATCTTAATATGTGTAATTGATTTGTAAATGAACAACGTGTTTTTACTGAATGTTTTGATATCCTGGTAATTTTAATGTGCATTTTTCCTCAGGGGGCTTACTTAAATCCGGTGCTGTACCGAAAGCCATTGTTCCTTACGTAGAGCTTTCAAAAAGAGGAGAAGATGATTTTTCAGCTTACAAGAACTTCCCCGGATTACTGTAAATGAATTTCATCACACGGAGAAGGGCATTAAACGTTTCCAGTTACATCGACAACTTTAGGGTGCGTATTGTTCTATCGTCTTCTAAATCTAGCTAATAAAACTGGATAACGCTGCTGCACCGATTTGATCAGCACTAAAATAGCAGGGCTAAGTTAATATTTTAATTTTAAAGAAGACATTGGATGCAAAATATCTTCATATCTTGCTATATTCATAATGTATAACATGTGATATATGATTAGCCCTAGCAGAAAAAAGACAAAAACACAATCATATTGTATATGGCTCCATTCATAATGTATGCAACATGTAATGACAGTGGTGGAAGATTTTTTATATTTTTTAATGGTCAATTTACACTATACCTTTGTTTTACAGTGGCGTCACCAGTGATCTGCTTGACCTATCAGTCCTCAAAGTGGCAGAAGTGTTAAAAAACCATACCATTACACTATCACGGTTATTAGTATTTTAAATAACTATTACACTGTATCAAACTTTCTAAAAATTACGTGTTTATATTTACATGTTTAGATTACACTAGTGAGCAAGAAACTGTATTGAAGTTATATATATATTTGCATTTACATTATATTTAATATTCTAGTCTGTACAAATAAAACCAAATGAATCCATCCCAAGTGTTTTGTGTAAGGCCAGATCTCTCTGTGGAAGACTGACTGAAAGGTGGACCATGAAAAGGAGGAACTCATCGAAGGGCTGCAGAGACTGACACTGTCAAAATACATTTTAAATAATTATGATACATGCATGTAACGTGCACATCAAAAAATAAAAATATAACATTTTCTTTGTCACAAATAATATAATATCAATATTTACCATTGCATTGCTTGTTATTTCAACTTATCTCCTCATTGTAGCTGTCCTCGCTCTGGTCTCACGAACCATGTGGGAAGCAGATTCAATAACTCTCCAAAAGGCCATTAAATGGTTCTACATCTCAAATCTAGATTGAATGAGACATGTTTTCAGAAAATACACACCACACAATGTAATAATGCAAGTTTGCTTACACTGAACCTGATGGTTACTTTAAAAATGTATAATGTATTGACATGCAAGTACTCTTATGAAAACAATTATTTTAACTGGGGTTTTAGCTTATTCTCCCTCGTGTCATTCTAAACCATTATGAATTTCTTCTGTGGGGGAAAAAATATCTAAATAGCTGACTGACACTAACATTATTTACAACATTTCTGTATGCCAATGAAGAAATCAAGCCATATGGGTTTACAACTACATAAAGGTGAGTATATGATGACAGCTTTATTTAAATTTTTGGGTGAATCATCTATTAACTCGTTAACACATATTGCCCAGACCCACAGAAGTGGTTTTTAAAAAACAGGCAACCACAGCGACAAAAAAAAAACAAATTCACAACAGGTCTACATTGTGCATGGTAGTAGTGTAAATAAGGGTTTAGATCTTACCTAGAGTAGAACCGTATGTTGTCGTTACCGTAAGTGGCACCTGCAGACTGTAGTATCAAAAGTGATGTTAAAATCCTTACATATACTACTCTGAATCCACTTATTGCGAGTTTCTTCATCCAGGGGAGAAGCCTCACAAAACAGGACACAGCAATAGCGGGACAAACCACCCTCACAGATGTTTCAACTTTATGGAACTCTTCATTAAATAATTATATTACTGTGGTATAGTTAATTTGTTATATTATAGCAATAAAATGTATAAATATTATTTTATATTAATCGTTCATTTTGGGAAACACAGCCCTGGACACTTTAAAATTACTAGCATAATTTATTTGAAGATTATTGTTTGTAATTCTTTTAAATGTCATTTATGGGTTCAAATACTTTTTGGGGCTTATTTTATTTTAAATTGTAACACTATAATTTGCTTTACTTGTTTCTTCTGCAACATTGCAAATATTAATATGCTAATATTGTGCTAACTGTGATGTTCAATATTTAAAGTTTTAATCAAACACCTTGACCAGAGAAGCATTATTGTGCCTGTAGGTTAACTAGGGCTGCACGATTAATCGCATGCGATATTTAACGCGCATCTTATCAGTAAAGCCGGTTCTGTAATCAGCAAGAGGGTTACAATCACCTCCAATATTCCATATGCACCTAAGGGATGTTTATGTGTGTATTTGCTTCCGAAACCTCCTTCGGGAAGGTTGGAGCTTCCGCAACGTCCCTGTCCCAAGTGGAACGGGTACGTTTTCCCATTGTTATCCAGTCTTACTGATTGGGAAGTGCCATAGCAGCAGTAGCTGGTCCTCTTGTGGTAAGCCCTGGCCTACGCCAAAAAGTAGGGGCGCAGGTGGCTTCCACAGGACACTGGAAGGGGCAGTAGCTGTGGCCCTTTGGTAGGATCCCAATTCGTCAGTCATCCGACGTGACGTCGAGAGTGACCGACTGAAAGGTAACGTCTCGGTTACGTATGGTAACCCTCGTTCCCTGAAGGAGGGAACGGAGACGTCATGTCCCGTCGCCACAGCTCCTGTACCACCGCTGAGCGGCCGGGTCACCGGCTCGGCTCCTCAGCGAAAACCTGAATATGCGCTGACCATGCGAAACCATGTGAAAGTCATACAGGTTTGGAACGATATGAGGATGAGTAACTGATGACAGTTTTAATTTTTGAGTGACATATATCTGTCTAATAACTGTATAACAGCAATCAAATAGTCCAGATTTTTAAGTAAGACGTTCCAGCTTCCTGGGCTTCAACTTGAATTCATGGCAGCTGGAATGTAAGGCAGCTACTTTCCCCTTTAGGGAAGTAGGCTAGTCACTCAGCTCATAACGTAACGTGGGAGAAAAGGGATCACTATAGCAACCACCTCTGTCATACAGTGTATGTGAAAATGGTTCATGGTTGCATAGGATTTTTGAGAATACTTTGCTCCCATTATTTGTGTTGAAAGCTTCATAATGTCAGTAGAATGGTGTGTTGTTAATGCTCCCATGGGAAGATCCCTCTTTGAGCTGAAGTAATGAAGGCAGTGTAGTCGTCTCTAGCATACACATGGTTAATTTATATGCTCACTGTGTGCTGTATCAGTACATACGTTACATAATACATCCTGTTTTGTAATATGATTGACAGCGCAGCTCCTGTTCGTGAGAAAGTGTTGCAAAATCACAACAGATGTCCAGAGAAAACAATTGTTTGCCTATTAGTTGGATTAGCCATTTGTGTGTGTGTGTGTGTGTGTGTGTGAGACAAATGAGAGAGAGAGAAGGTGTGTCAGGTCTTAAGGTCCTCTGATCCTTCAGGTCTTTGAGGGATTACTGCTTTCTGGGACACGGTTTACACAGTTTTAGAGCAGGAATTTATGGGAATACGCATACAAAACACTATCATGCCTAATAACACGAATCACTGATTTAGCTGTTAGAAATTATTTTATTATATTGGAAGAAAGAGACTGTGGAGTGATGGATAAATCTATTGCCTGGGACAGCACAGTCATTTATACAGTCATTTATACACAGTCACAGTCATTTATACAGAATTATTTGACAGTAGGATGCAGCGATTGACCAAACCGAATCAAGTATTCCAGAAAGTCTATTATAAAAAATACGTATAATAAAAATCTTTCAATCTTATTCTCAGCGCTTCTGTTATTCCCACTCTCCATCTGCCCTATCTCCTCCTCCTGTGACTTGTGTCTCTAGTGCACCTGCTCCCTGTCATGCTTTCATTTGGAGGACAGGGCTGAATCTAAGCAACCCCCTAAAAACCATTCATTCTCTCCCTCCCCCCACACACACACACAGACTGCATATCTCATGTTATTGTATATATTGTCATAGCAGCCACAGCTTACTAGTAAATACCCCCACTCTCTTACATCTCTTTTCATTCCCCATCTTTCTTTTGCTTATACTTACTCTACCCTCTATTCCTAATGATGATGTTAAATATTAATGTTAAATCTCTCTCTCTCTGATGCTTTGGTTGCAGATTTCAAACATCATGCCTGTGGCAGCCACCAGCACAGAGCATGGTAAGTATCATCACAAATAAGAGCATTTTTGGCCCTGTGGAACTTTACAAAATAAACTTATAAAACACACTTTTTACATTCTCACTGTTGAATGTTTATTTAATGCATCCAATAACAATGTCCAACAGTGAACATACAAGCATCACAGGAGATGTCTTTCACTTTTGTCACTTTTTCATATTTCCATCACATTTCAAAACATGCATTGTGTTCAGCAGCATTCTGTGATGGAAATAACGGTGACGAAAATGATGCTTTAAACATTTTTAATGACAAATCTTATTTGTCCTGCTCAATTTAGTGTTATAGTTAGTCCATCCTAAATGCCCTTCATTTAAATATTTTTTTTGCACTTTTTGCTGTTTGCCAAATAAAGGATGAATGCATGGTGACCAAAAGTGCTTTAATGTGATGTTTAGTCAAACAAAAATGTTTAAATCATGTTGTTTTAATGAAAAAAAGCTTAAAAAACTGTTTCCATCTACTATGAAAAGCATTTATTTACAGCATATATATTTTTCCTTTGCATGTTTTTGGACCCTAATGCAAATGGCTTAGCATCATTTCAGCAAACTATTGTTGCTTTGTGCCTGTGGCGTAAACAGTAGCCACAACAAAGTTGTTTCATTCTAAGAATTTGATGTCGAGCCAAAACGGTACAGATCACAACAGATAAATCACAGAAATGATGGTCACTAAAAGTAATTTGACTGTTTGCTGTGAGGATTTTCCTGGCGCTGTACTTATAAACATGGACACCCTTGTGCCACAGATGGCTGGCACACACACAGGGATACCCAGCTTCAGTGATATCATTCCCTGGAGATCCACTTGACATTTTTGTGCCCTGCAGTGTCTGCTAATAAATACTGTGTGATTCTGCTATATTAAGGTGCAGTGATCTACCTATAAGGTCAGACGTACAGTTTAAGCCCTCTACATCTTATCATATACACGACTAGTCATATTTCAGTAGTTAAAGGCATAGTTCCAGGAGGCTTCACAAAAATGTGGTTCATATTTCATATACATTTGAGCTGTACATTTAAAAAAGACCTAATATTGTCCATATGGTAAGATGTAAGTATAAAACAGATTGCGCGAGTGTGTGTGTTTGATCAAAGAGTACAGTGTCACATAAGCAGCTGTTTAATCAGGTCTCTGTCTTTTTCCCCCCAGCAGTGCCGCAGGTGCTGGACACACTGAGTGACAGCACCAGCTCCACCACTGCCAATGACCTGGACCTCATCTTCCTCAAGGGCATCATGGAGAGCCCAGTGGTCAGTTTTCAGCCCACATACCGCAGTCATTATTGCCAAAAAATAATCATATTAAAAAAAAGTTGTGACTATACATAATCCCACTTATAGCTACTCAACAAGTAAATACATTTATGAAATATTGATTTAAAATTAATTTATACCACCTGTCAAAAATGTGGAATAATTAAATAAATGTTTCATGTTTTTGAAAAAAGTCTCTGCTTACTACGGCTGCATTTATTTAACCAGAAGTACAGTAAAACACTAATATTGTGAAATATTATTACAATTTAACATTTTTCTATTTGAATGTGTTTTAAAATGTTATTTAAGCAGCTATTATTTCAGTCTTAAGAAATGTGGTACTCAATTATTATTGATAATCAACTATTAATAATGGTTCTTATTATTATAAATGCTGAAGGGTTGCTGCTGAATTTGTGGAAACTGTGCTACATTTTCTCAGGATTCTTTGATGAATAGAAAGTTCAAAAGAACAATTCAAAAAGTTTATTATTGAGTTTACTGTTTACTATTGAACGGTAGTATATCAGTTACCAATGAACTGTTTTCAACATTAATAATGATGAAAGGAAATGTTTATTGAGCACCAAATCAGCATTAATTTCTGAAGGATCATGTGACACTAAAGACTGGAGTAATGACTGCTGAAATAACTATTTTCATTATTTTCATCATTTAAAAGTTGTTGATTCTTTTATGTATTTTGATGGATCTCAACCAGTATCAGTCTGAAAAATATTAGAATAATATTGTATAAGAAACATGCATGCACACACATAAATAAGAGAATAGTAAATAATGTGTAAGAATAAATACATGATAAATGTCTTTTAAATATATCTGAATATGAATAAGATAAGAAATCTTGTCGGAAGTTGTCAAAAGCAACAGTAGCAATATAGCCAATCTTTCACGACAAACCAATAACTGATCATTATTTTGGCTCTTAAAACCTGACTGATCTTCTAGAGTGCAGAGAGTCTGGAGGAGACACGACTGGAGGCCGTGAGGGACAATAATGTGGAGCTGGTGCAGGACATCCTGAGAGAGCTGAGCCCCTTCACACACCACAGCAACACCGCCGCAGAGCTGTCACGCATACTCAACCAGCCGAACTTCCAGGTACACCGCTGCAGACCAGCAGACCTGTCGAATGCAATGGGAATAATAGACAGTCTGATTAGTGACTGACGCGCTGTGCTTTTGATGATCAGTCTCTGTTGGAGACGCACGACTCTGTGGCCTCTCAGACATGTGAAACTCCGCCCTCGAGCCCCTGTGCTTTCATGGAGCCGCCCATCAACAGTGTACCGGTGCCAGCTGATGCCATCCGCATGGTGGGCATCCGCAAAGTGGCTGGAGAGCATTTGGTAAGATTGCACTCACAGTGTTTCTGTGTGCAGAGAAGGCTTTAAAAACTCTCTCATACTCAAGATCTTTTTCTTGATGTTGGTTCCCACGGTAACAAAACTTGTATAATTTTTTTTCATACCTGGAAAATTCATAGAAATAAAAACAAGAAAAAACAAATCTTTGAAAAGTCATACATTTCTGTAGAGAATATACATTTTATAATTATGCTGTGCTCTAAAGTATTAAATTGTACAAAATTTCTAAGTGATTATGCTTTGTTTATTTATATAATTATATATTGTATTGTATAATAGTAATGTTATATTAAATTATGATATTTAATGTAATTTTTAAATATTATTAAAATGTAATACTAATATTATATTTTAGAGCAGACCATAATGATAGTATTAAACAATATGTATGGTTATGCTCTGCTGTAAAATATGAGCTTAATATACAAGATTTCTGTTTCAAATTATATATTTTATAACAATAAATTATGTAATTATATAATATGACATTTCCATATATTTGTAATATTATATTAAATTATACTATAATTTTATTTTAATTCTAATATTATTTTTACAGAGCAGAGCATTATGAAATTATTAAAACAAATTTATGGTTATGTTCTTATTATATATTAAGCGTTAGCGTTAGTTCTGGCAGGCTTGCATCAGCTGATTCTCAGCTGATCACATCTACCTATAGGAATACGACACCTACCATTCCTATATTATTATATGTATGTATGTATATATTTATATATAATACTAATATTATATTTTAGACCAGAGCATAATGATAGGATCAAATGAAATATGTAGTTATGCTTGCTCTAAAATATTACGTTAATATTCATTATATGAAATCCTACAGTGAATATACAATTTTTTTTTGTTAGTATGCATCACTATAAAATAGTAAATTAATATATAAAGGTCATGGAAAATCATGGAAACTGATTGATCAGATTCCAAATGTGCTTACTTAGAGTGTTTTGACTACTAGTTTCTGACTTGTCGTCCTGTTGTTTTGTCAGGGTGTGACGTTCCGCATTGAGAACGGAGAGCTGGTGATCGCCCGCATTCTCCACGGGGGGATGATCGACCAGCAGGGTCTGCTCCACGTGGGTGACATCATCAAAGAGGTGAACGGGCGAGAGGTGGGTGACGACCCTCGTGTGCTGCAGGAGATGCTGCAGGAGGCCAGCGGCGGTGTAGTGCTCAAAATCCTTCCCAGCTACCAGGAGCCGCATCCCCTCAGACAGGTACCATCACAATACACACCGGGACATGTTCAGTGTACTTGCATGCATAGGGCATCACATCGATGACCCCGTTTACACCTGGTATTATGTCTCAGGCCACCAGTGGTTTTGAAATGCTGGTGGCTCCACATGTGCACATCACTGCAACCTACTTTCCTCTTGTTTTTCTCTGCTGCTCTTTCGTGGTTGTCATGGATACCAGAGTTAGGAGCGAACTCTCGGTTAAAGCCAGATGTGTTCACTGTGAGAGCAGACAAGATTTAGATTTTTAAATGTAGAAGCATGTTGTAGGCAGTCTCAGCAGACACTATTAGCATTTTACTATTTCAGACTGCATTTATATAATTCTTTGATGGGGTGAAACAATTTTAACTTTCAGATGGACTGTTAAATCAATTTATATTAAATGCCTTAGAATAAATTATTTGAAAACTGACCTAATGTTTTAAATCATTTTCAGATTTTGAATTATTGGAAATAGTCAGTGCTGGGTAGTAACTGATTACATGTAATCTGGATTACGTAATCAGATTACAAAAATTAAACTCTTAAACTTTAAAATGCTCAAAATCCATTTTTTTTTTCCCAGTCAACTTCTGGAGGAGAAGAGGAAAGCTTTTGTGAAGAAAGATGTTGTCCTTTCACCAGCAGGTATACTTATAGTAGTAATAATAATAATATACAATTTAAAATGTCTATTTTTAATATATTTTCAAATATCATTTAGTCCTGTGATGCAAATCTGAATTTTCTGCATCATTGTCACATGGTCCTTCAGAAATCATTCTAATATGATGATTTACTGCTTAAAAAAAATAAATAAAATTGAAACAGTTGTGCTGCTTAATATTTTTTTCAGGATTCTTTGAACAGAAAGTTTAAAAGAACTGCATTAATTTGAAGTATTATTTTTATTAACATTGTAAATGTCTTCACTATCAATTTTGATCAATTTAATGCATTAATTAAAGCATTATTATTATTGTTTATATGTTTTATTGTTTTTTAACCCTACCCTATTGAATGGTTGATTTGTGCGTACTGCCCCCTGGTGGATTTAATATGAACGTTTACGATGTCTAATCCTCTAATCAAACGTTCTTAAAGCAGCACTGTGTAATTTTTGGCGCTCTAGCGGTTAATAAACAGAACTGCACACATCCCGCGGAAGAACATTCCAACCGGAGCTACTTCTCTAAGTTTATGTCTATGGCGATTCACGCAGGTATGTGTTACTCCGCAGCGGAATAAGACAAAAACGCGGCTTGGAAGATGAATTCATGATGTACTCGCTCATTATATACATTTTGCACATTTTGAACACAGAAAAATTTACATAGTGCTGCTTTAAAGCAATGCAAACAGTTAAGGTGCAAACTTTGTTAAAGGTTCAGTAATGCAGTAAATATTTGTCTATAGATAATATCACTGTGTATTACAGCCAATCTCTGCACTGGAATGGTTGGCAAGAAGAAGAAGAAAATGATGTATCTGACTACTAAAAATGCAGGTTTGTTTTCTTTTGACTCAAATGCATGTTTTTTTTTTAAACTGCATGTCTTTTCTGTTTTCCAATCTTTCATTCTTTATTTTTTTAATCCCTGACAGATTTTGACAGGCATGAGTTACTGATCTATGAGGAGGTGGCAAAAGTCCCACCGTTTCGCAGGAAGATGCTGGTTCTGATTGGTGCACCTGGAGTGGGCCGACGAAGTCTGAAGAATAAGTTGCTAGTGTCAGACCCTCAGCACTATGGCACCACCGTCCCCTGTGAGTCATCTCTGGGTGTATTAGGCACAGTTTTCTTTACTGTGAGGGTTCAGACTCATTCCTGATGCAAATATTTCTTCCCTTTAGTGTGAGGGATTTTTTTGGACACAACCAAAATGTAGTGCTAATCTGTTAATAAACAGAAATGAATGATTCATCATGTAACTGTCCACAGACACCTCTAGGAAGCCCAAATCAGCAGACAGAGAGAACATGATGTATGCCCTCACATCCCGGAGTAAGATGGAAGCTGATATTAAAGCTGGCCTCTATCTTGAACATGGTGAATATGACGGTAACCTCTACGGCACCAAGAATGACTCCATCCATGAAGTAGTGGAGGCTGGACGTTTCTGTATCCTGGACGTCAACCCACAGGTAAGGGACTCTTTAACTAAGGAGATGATCAACAACAGTATTTCATGAAAACCACTTTTTGATTCTGACATTTTTTTTTTTGGCCATAGGCCCTAAAAGTCCTCAGGACATCAGAGTTTTTGCCATATGTAGTGTTCATCAAAGCCCCAGAGTTTGAGGTGCTGAAGGCCATGAACAGATCTGGGGTGGAGGCAGGAGTGACCAAACACCGAACAGTAAGTTTAAAGGGATAGTTCACCCAAAAATTAAAATTACCCCGTGATTTACTCACCCTCAAGCCATCCTAGATGTATGTGACTTTCTTCTTTCAGATGAATACAATCAGAGATATATTAAAAAATGTGCTTGCTCTTCAAAACTTTAGGTGTTCAGATTTTGAATTCCAATAAAGCACATCTATCAAAAGATGTGCACATCTATGCAAAGCGATACATTTGTGTAACAAAAATATCCATATATAAAACTTTATAATTCGTAATCTAGCTTGCACTAACTGTTGTACGTGCATTCACAAGAGAGTGGCATCCAGTGGATGACGTAGGATGTAGGCGTAAGCATGGTGACCGTGATTTGACCAAGTACAACATGTTCCTGGATCAACATCCTTGTTGATCCTGGAACAACATTCCAATTAACCAATCAGAATTGAGGGATAACTTTTCAGGAAATATCTGTTTAAGGCTTACGATCAGGGTTAGGTACTTCTACACCCTTGTTAATCAGCTATCATTTCACACTGATTTTAGGAATAAATTATGGGTAGGGTTAGGTTTAGGGGTAGGGATTGGGTTTAATCTATATTTTGAGAGCAAAACAAAACACCGGTCACAAATTAGTTCAATATAAGTCAAGAGGAGACTGGTTTTCCTTTGCTGTATACAAAACTTGGTTTTCGCGAGACTAGCATCTTCTCCCTGGAGCTTAAGCTACACCTACATCCTACGGGCTAGAGATTACGGTTTATAAAGTTGTTAGGTAACACTTTATTTTAAGGTGTCCTTGTTACACATGTTACATGTTCGTACTATTATAATAACAATAAATTATGCATAATTACATGCAAATAGCCCTAAACCAAACCCTAATCATAACCATATAGTAAGTACATGTAGTAATTTAATATTACTTAGTACTTAAATGTATAATTACACTGTAACAAGGACACCTTAAAATAAAGTGCAACCAGTTGTAAATATGGATATTTCAATTACACAAATGCATCGCTTTGCTTCAGAAGGCTTTTGTTAACCTCCTTGAGCTGTGTGGAGCACTTTTTATGATGGATGGACAGACTGTCAGGGTTGGGGATGAAAGGATGAGGCGAGGACTCAGTAGTGCAGAGTAATGGGCTTTTAATAGTAAAATAAAACAAAACAAACAACAAAAACTACCCCGTTGGGGAAAACAGGCTGGTAAGGCAGGATCAGGACAGGACAGGACACGACACGTCAGGATACATTCAATGTTGATACGATGACGAACTGGCACGGGACTGCAAACACAAGGAGAATAAATAGAGAGCAAATGAGGAGGGTAACGAGGGAACACATGTGGGGCAAATTAACCAATAATCATTTAACAAGATGGGTGGGGTCAAAACAATTGACATGAGAGCACATGGCACACAGGAAACCAAGACAAAAGCCATGTGCTCACAGAAAACAAACACAAGCACATGGCCAGCAAAACAATCACAAGCCATGTGCTTGAACGAAACAAGACACGAACACGCAGCTAATGAGAAAACTCGTGTTCACACGACAGCATGCAGCCAGCGAAAACCAAGCTGCGTGCTACACAGCACAAGACAAAACAGGACACAGGACACACACAGCTGATAACATGAGCTGCGTGCAACAACACCACAAGACAACAAGAAAAGCACGCGGCCGAACACAAACCATGTGCAACACAAAACACAACACACGTGGACAGAAGAGTGCACGGCCGAGCGAACTCGAGACCGCACGCTCCCACAACAAGAAAGAACATGGAGCACAAGTGTCCGGACCCCGACACGAAACCGAAACTCAACAAGACATGAGTGCCGGGATCCGAACACCACGCTCCAACATGAAACAAGGAAACAGGACACGCAGATGAGAGCGCACGGCTCGAGCACTCTCGAA